AGAAAAAAAAAAAATTGAATTCAGTCTTTAAAATACTTGTCACTAGGGACCAACAGATGGCGTAATGATTATGCTGCTGGACTCCCACATAGTCTACCCCGGTTCAAGTCCTGTACCCAGAGACTTAAAACTCACACTTCACATGTGTGTGTACATGTCCAAGATCCCAAGAGAGAATGGAGGAGAAGGAATTTCAGTTCGGCCATCCCCCCAGGGGGCGATTTTTCACTTTCTGTCTCTGACTCTCCAGTAAACACATACACCCTCTAGCAAAAATCTTTCTTAAAAAGAAAACAGAGGGACCAACAGATGGTGAAATGGTTATGTTGCTATACTCCCATGTAGTTGACCATGGTTCAAGCCCCCAGACTCGGCAGCTTATAAGTCATGCCAGTTAAGTGTGTGCATGCCCAAAATCCCGAGAAGAGAATGGAAGAGAAGGGATTGTGGCATGGTCACTACTCTGGAGGGTGATTTTTCACTTTCTGTCTCCCTGTTTCTCTGGTGAGCACACATGCCCTATAGTAAAAATCTCTCTTAAAAAATAGGAAAAAGAAAAAGGTTATAAGGGTTTAAAAAGGTAGTATGTTGTAAGTGCTTAGGAATGCACATGGGCCCATCATTATACAAGTAGAAATGGTCTTCAAAAAGTTTATGAAATAAGAATATTATTAAAAATCTATGTATGGGGGAACCAGCAGTTAGCGTAATGGCTATGTCACTGGACTCCCACGTAGTCGACCGCGGTTCACATCCCGGACCCGGTGGCTTAAAACTCACGCCGGGCACGTGTGCGTGCGTGCCCAAGATCCCGAGAGGAGAATGGAGGAGAAGGGATTGCGGCGTGGCCATCCCCCCTGGGGGGTGATTTCTCGCTTTCTGTCTCTCTCTCTCTCTCTGTCTGTCTGGCGAACGCACGCGCCCTATAGCAAAAACCTCTCCAAAAAAAAAAAAAATCTATGTATGGGGACCAGCAGTTGGTGTAATGGCTATGTCGCTGGAATCTAATGTAGTCAACCGTGGTTCCAGTCGTCGATCTGGTGGCGTGTCCGCGCATGCCCAAGATCCCAAGAGGAGAATAGAGGAAAAGGGATTGTGGCGTGGCCATCTCCCCTGGTGGGGGGTGATTTCTCGCTTTCTGTCTCTCTGTCTCTCTCTGTCTGTCTGGCGAACGCACGCGCCCTATAGCGAAAACCTCTCAAAACAAACAAACAAAAAAACCGAAGTATGAATTTCAAAAAAATTTTGTACCCCCAAATAAACTAGTACTTTAATTCCATTTTCCACAAATTTATAAAGTACGCTCATACATTTGGACTGTTATGATCTTAAAAATCACAGAAGTGATGATCCAGTACACACATTTGTATGTTAAAGTGGTAGTACTACCCTTGACAGCAGGTTATTTTAACAATGCAGTTATGAATGTCATAATGAACTGGCATCATCTGAGGAAATTCCAAATCACTGTACTTGGATTATGAAGGCAAGAGATATGTAAATGAATTTTTTAAGCATTTCCATCAGAAATTAGTAAACTAAAATAAGGGGGAGTATTTTTAAAAATCCACATTACAATTATTTAGAAAACCCGTAAGTGGTTTTCTAAATAACAAAATGATCCACTAGAAGTAAATAAATTGTTCTTTTTCTTTTCCTTTTTTTTTTTTTTTTAAATTTGCTACAGGGCATGTGCGCTAAAGAGACAGAAAGAGAGAGAAAAACAAAAAAAAGTGAGGAAGCACGATAACTTTAACTAACTGAACATGGGTATGAGGATGGCCAGGCCACAATCCCTTCTCCTTCATTCTCCTCTTAGGATTCTGGGTATGCATGCATACGCGTGCAGTGGCATGATTTTTAAGCCACTAGGTCCAAGACTCAAACCATGCAATCAGTCATGTGGGACCGAGCTGCCTTAACCACCATACCAACTGCCTAGCCCCAGTAAATTGTAATTCTTAAAAAGAATCTTGGGGCCAGTAGTTGGCATGGTGGTTAAGGCAATGGACTCCCACATGGTCAACCCTGGTACTAGAGTCCTGGACCTGGAGGCCTGTTTTCTCTCTCTCTTGCCAAATTTGAAAAGCAATAATGATGAATAAAATTAAATAGATAATTCTTTACAAAGAAAAGAATCTCACGCAAAACATGCTCAAACAGCCATTCTTACAATTATGCTAGTTACTCTAACTTGCAATTCATGGTTTACTACAAAAAGAATTGCAGATTTTCTTTTCTTCTGAATTACATTATAGCAAGAGCCATGAGTATGCACTGTGCATTCAAAACAGTCATTAAACATCAATATTTTATGTGTGCACAGTGACAGTTACATACCTGTAAGTAAATATGTCAAGAAACATTAATTGTAAATGTTCTTAATTAGACTAGTTCACTCTACTTATGGAAGACTTCAAAAGGTTCACCGATGGGACCAGCAGTTGGCATAATGGCTATGTCTCTGGACTCCCATGTATTTGACTGCGGTTTGAGTACCAGACCTGGTGGCTTAAACTCACACTGGGCGCGTGTGCGTGAGTGCTCAAGATCCCAAGAAGAGAATGTAGAAGAAGGGATTGTGGTGTAGACATCCCCCTGGGGGCTGATTTCTCACTTTCTGTCTCTCTGTCTTTCTGGTGAGTGCACGCACCCTATAGCAAAAAACTTCTCCAAAAAGAAAAAAAAGGTTCACAGAAAAATAAAATTTAAGTATCTTTTACTTGGTATAGCAAAATTTTAAAAACCATTAAATTATTATTATTATTGTAGTCATTTTCCATGAACTATTTGAAGATCTCATATAATCAGCAAATTTTTCTATAAAGAATTTTTTTACACAGCAATAAATGAGCTCATGAAATGTAAGGAAGTCTATCACTTTAATATTCTATTCTGTTAGGATTTGGTAAGCTGTGCATTTACATTAATTTCTTCTTTCAACGTATCACAGACTTCTCCCATCAATACCCTTGCCCTTGTTCTAGTCCCCTTATCTGCACCAAGAGTAGAGAACAAGCTATCACTGAGTTGTTTGGTCTGGTAGGGAAATCTCTTCTGAGGTTCCAAATCTGAGAAAATTTAGGTAGAATCAGCTTAGGTCTATGAAAGAAAAACCTTTCCAGATATCAGGTCATTGGGAAAGTTGTGACATACTTTTTTCTATGCAAAAAGACATCATGACTTTTCCAATGACACAACAGTTAACCTCTAAACCCTTGCCCAAATGGAAAGAAATTTATATTTAGAAAATTCAGCTACATAAATGAATGCTGGGTGATGCAGGTCACAAATATCTTTCTTACACCAGTCAGCATAAGAGTCCCTTCTACCGGTCCCACAGAGTGATAATGAAGAGCCTCTGCTTGAACAAGCCCAATGACATGTCCAAATTCACACATCTCCATGGCCCCCAGGGGTAAAGGTGGAAGAGACAATTAGAGCAGTAAACACAAGTACACTAAAGGCATGACGACATCATGAGAGAATTAAACATGGAAAGGAAAGAGGGCTTTTTCTCCAAAACTAAAGAAAAAGGGATTTTTTTAGAGTCAGTGATAAATAAGTGAAGATTACTTACCACCAAAGTGGGTGCTGTCAATAATCCCCAAGCAAAAAACTCCAAAAAGATGACGATAACCGCATGATAAACACTAGGAGAACCAATTCCTTGAGGCTGTAAGAACAGATTTTTCAAAACATTAGCAAATTTCAGAATTACTAACAATGACAGTGATAGTCGATAAATATTTATTAAAAACACATATGGGGCTAGCAATGGTGTGGAGGTTAAGCCAGCTGGATCCCTCATGGTCAACCTCATGGTTCAAGTCCCAGACCTAGAAGCTTGAAAAACACACCAGGTATGCATGCAGCATGTCCCAAATCCCAAAAAGAGAATAGAGAAGGGACCGAGGCATGGCTATCCCTGTAGGGAGTGATTTCTCACTTTCTCCCTCTCTTTCTCTCTCTTGGAAGTGCATGCATCCTTACACCAAAACTAAAAGAAAAAGGGGCTGGCAGGTGGCGTGGTGGTTAAGGGTGCTGTACTCCCACAGGGGCGACGACAGTTCGAGTCGGACCTGGTGGCTTACTTTCTCACTTCCTCTCTCTCTCTCTCTCTCTCTCTCTGTCTCTCTCACCAAATTAAAATAAATAAGCAAATAAAATAAATAAAGTTAAATAATTCTAAAAAAAAAAAAACTAAAAGAAAAAGAAAAGAACACATATGTATTGGGTACCGTATCAAACATCTGCATAGTCACACTGTCCATGCTATCAGGGTGACAGGGACAGGCCAGGAAACAAACTCATGAACATATAGGCACAATGTGTAATGGGAACATACAGAGCCAAGGGAGGGTTGGGAATATCAACCTCCAGGAGGAAGGAAGGCTGAAAGAACACAATGGAGTGGACAGGTGGAGTACGGTGAGAACAAGTTAGGTCAAGGTGGTCAAGGCATAAGTGCATGCAGCGTTCTGAGACTCCTTTATGTAGTCTAGCACAACTAGAGGGCTGCACGCTGACATGTGCTGAAAAATGAGCTAGACACACAATGACTAGCTTCCGTGCTACGGAGTCCGTATTTAATTTGAATGTGATGGAGAACCACTAAATGATGCTAAGGAAGACTCACATGATCAGGTAAGTTTTGTCTTGTTTTGTTTTAAGTTGCAATAGGGCACGTACACTCACCGAACAGACAGAGAGAGAGAACGAAAGGACCCCCCCGGGGGGATGGCCACATCATAATCCCTTCTCTATTATCCTGGTGGGATTGTGGACACACACACACACACCCAGCCTGTTTTTCGAGCCACCAGGTCTAGGACTCAAACCATGCTGTTGGCAAGGTTCGTTGCCTTCACCACACCAGAGACTAGCTCTCAAGTAAGTTTTAAAAGAAAGATTATTCTAGCGAAGGTATAATAGATGGACGAAAAGGGAGCAACACTAAGGAAAGTGAAGAGTTAGGTGGCTACTGCACTAACTCAACACATACAAGGGGCAAGTGGCAACAATATTAACATATTAATGTGGCTCAAAAGCAGAATAGTCCCCAGAGTAGTTTGTAAGGGATCTGGAATTTGAGATATATAAGAAAGAAAATACAAAATTTAGTTTACAATGCTACCAGAGATGTCTTAATTACTTCAGTTACTGAATTTCACATTTTAAAGGGAAATATTAAATTGGTGGAAAAATAACCTATTAATATTTAGTCTCTACTAACGAGTTTGTATAACAACAGAAAGATAAGATTTTCTATATTAAAGTGTAAACTACTGCTGTTCAGCTTCTTCAATCAACTTAAACAGCATTTACAATCAGGTTTCCAAACAAATACACATTACAATGTCATACTTAAGCATTAAAATACATTCAATAGCCTTCTGTGACAACAGTTTGGATTTCTGTACATGCTAATAATCATGCTGCATCATTTTTAATAATGTCATAATGGATCCTCATCATTTAAAATAAAGGTCGTCTCTGCCAACTGACATAATTTAGGTATCTGAAAACCCTTTAGTAGAACCTGCAGCTGAAGAACTTGACAGTGGGGGAGGGGCACGAGGGTAGAGGTTTGCAGGACCATGACTTGGAATGAATTTTTCCAATATCTCAATCATTTGACAACCATTTATAGAACACCTACTATGTATCAGAGGTTCCCAGCTTATAAAAACAGAACATACTCTGAAATTTCAAGTTCATAGGGTAGTGAGGAAGAAACGGCATTTTGTGTAAATGCAATAAAACAGATATGCACAGGTTAAAAAGCGTGGGAACAGTACTGTGAAAACACGTAGGGGTATGGATAGGGATATGGACAGTCCGACCAGGAGAAAACCAGAGTGAAGTAGACAAAGGCCATGGCAGTTGAAACTAGTGGAGTAAAGAGAGGGAGGCAGAAAAGGTTACTTCTAAACTTTGTTATGGAGGTTCTCATAATAACTCTAGAAACACAGGAAAAACCACAGAAGGGGTGTCAGCAGGAGAACCATCTGATTAGACTTGCAACTTTGTTTTTTTCTTTATTCATGAGAGCACATACAGGCATGTGAGAGAGACTCAGGGGAAGGCAGGAGGGAGAAATGAGTACTCTCCACAGGGTCTGGTTGTGGTGCAAATCTCCTTCTTCCAGCCCTCTAGCTGGATGGATTTTAGGCACGTGCACACATGCCCAGTGTGTAGACCTGCAATTTTAAAGAGATCACTGTACCGATTTTCTAAAGGATGAAACTGAGACCCTGGTGGTTAAGGTAGCTGGATTCCGCACACTGACTGTGCAGTTTAAGTCCTGGTCCGGGTGGCTTGAGAAATACACTGGGCACGTGTGTGCACACCTAAAATTCCAAAAAGAGGGAGAGACAAAAAGGGGACTGCAGCAAGGTTGGGGGTGCTTTCTCCTCTGTCTCTGGTGAGCCTCTAGCAACAACAAAAAGGCATTGAGGTACAAAATGTATGCAAACGGCGGCTATGTGACTCAGCTCTAACAAAACAAGATGGACCCAGCATGAAATAATAGAGTGGTATGGATACTGGAGGGGAGGGAATGGATTTGGATATTCAGGGTTTTATACTGACAACTTGGTGAATAGTGGGTAAGAGAATCAAAAATGACTTCCAAGTTTTTGGCTTAGCTGGCTACTAGTGGGAGCTGATAATCTTCCTCCCACTTTTTTTCCCATAAAGCTCAAGTTACTTCAGGTCCTACCTGAGACTGTCCACTTTACTCAAAACACTTCTACTGTCTCTGAACCCTGATTAAAACAATTAGTCATCAACAACTGTGATGTTCGAAACAAGAATGGACGTGATTATCAGGAGAGTAGAAAGTGTAGAAAGAGCAGCAGGCTAAGACAATCCCAAGGAGTACCTACGTTTACACAGTAGGCAGAGGAAAAGGAATCCATGAAAATAGGGAAGGATTTTTTTTTTGGGGGGAGAGATTTTTGCTATAGGGCACGTGCACTTGCCAGACAGAGAGAGACAGAAAGTGAGAAATCATCCCTCGGGGGGATGGCCACGCCGCAATCCCTTCTCCTCCTTTCTCCTCTCGGGATCTTGGGCACGTACATACACACACCCAGCGTGAGTTTAAGCCACCAGGTCTAGGACTCGGACCACGGTTGACTACATGGGAGTCCAGCAACATAGCCATTATGCTAACTGCTGGTCCCAGGAAAAACAATTTTAAACTTAGAATTTAATACCTGGGCTAGCTTAGTGGTTAAGGGAGCCAGATCCTACAAGAAGGCCATGGTGGTTCAAATCCCAGCCCCTGTAGCTTGAAAAACACACCAGATACATGTGCATATGTGCCTCAAATCCTGACAGGACAGAGAAAGGAAGGAGGAGGAACTGCAGTGGGACCGCACCACACTGAGGGATATACTTTCTCTTTTTCCCTCTCTCTGGTAAGTGTGTATGCCTCGTAGCAATTAAAAAAATAAAAAATAAATAGTAAATAATAAAAGAATATGAAACTCAGCAACAATTTATCAATCAAAAATGACTTGGCCCAGCTGCAGTGGCACAACAGTAGGAAGCCTCTGCACTGCGCAAGGGCTTCATAAGAAGCCTGGGTTGGGATCCCAAACAAACCTAAATAGGTCAGGCGAAGTGGCAAACTCCTGTAATCCTGGCTGGCTGGTAGACAAGGGTAGAGATTCTCAATGATAACACTCTCTAAAAAAAAAAAAAAAAAAAAACACTTTTTTTTAAAAAAAAAATCCTCTCAGGACCAGCAGTTAGCATAATGGCTATGTCACTGGACTGCCATGTAGTTGACCATGGTTCGAGTCCCGGAACCGGTGGCTTAAACTCACACTGGGCATGTGTGTGTGCATGCCCAAGATCCCAAGAGAAGAAGGGATTGAGGAATGGCCATCCCTCCTGGGGGGTGATTTCTCGCTTTCTGTCTCTCTATCTCTCTCTGTCTGTCTGGCGAACACACACGCCGTATAGCAAAAAAACCCTCTCCCCCCAAAAAAGGAAAGAAACATATTTTTCCTGAATAATACACAACTAAGCCAACTAAAATTATTTACAAATTTTACACAGGGCAGGACCAGCAGTTAGTGTAATGGCTATGTCGCTGGACTCCCACGTAGTCGACCGTGGTTCAAGTCCCAGACCCGGTGGCTTAAAACTCACGCCAGGCGCGTGTGCATGCGTGCCCAAGATCCTGAGAGAAGAATGGAAGAGAAGGGATTGCAGCGTGGCCATCCCCCCACAGGGGGGGGTGATTTCTCACTTTCTGTCTCTCTGTCTGTCTGGTGAGCGCACGCGCCCTATAGCAAAAAAAAAAACCTCTCAAAAAAAAAAAAAATGTACACAGGGCCAGCTCCATGGCCCAGTGCTGCTCACGAGATGCTGGATCTGGAACAGCAGGTGGCATGTAGGATAAGGTGGCTGTCTCTGTCTTCCACAAGCACCCATGACCCTATGGCAAAAACCTTAAGAGTAAAATGTCATTAATAGAACAGTGGAAAAAATTTAACACTGTTGAACACTAGAAAGAAAACAAAAGGGAATCAGATCAGTCCTATTATCCAGGCAGAAGAAATACTGTTCAGAGCCTGTTATGGGCTGACCAAATAGCCTCAAATGCCTGACCAGGAACGAATCCACCCACTGCTAGAACCTTATCAAAGCCCTGAAATTATAATGTCAATAGCAAGAGCTCTAACACATTCTATGACAAAATGAACTAAACACACAGAAGAACAGAATAGCAAATGGTAATTTTCCCCCCTTCTTAAAAAAATGTTAAGGGCCAGCTGGTGGCATGGTGGCTGAGGCAGCAGGATCTTACACTGCCGAACAAGTGGCTTGAGTCCCAGACCTGGTGGCATGGGAAACACTGGGTGCAGTGCTGTGTATGCCCAAATTCCAAGGGAATGGAGAAAGCACTGTGGTGTAGCCAACCCCTCTAGGGGTGATTTCTCACTGTCTCTCACACTCTCTCTCTCCAGCAAAGCACATACCCTATTGCAAACACTGGGGGGAAAAAAGTTCATAAAAATCATCTGACCTTAGGACCAGCAGTTAGCGTAATGGCTATGTCGCGGGACTCCCATGTAGTCGACCGTGGTTCAAGTCCCGGACCAGGTGGCTTAAACTCACACCGGGCGCGTGTGTGTGCGTGTCTAAGATCCCGAGAGGAGAATGGAGAAGGGATTGCAGCATAGCCATCCCCCCCGGGGGGTGATTTCTCGCTTTCTGTCTCTCTGTCTCTCTCTATCTGTCTGGCGAGCGCATGTGCCCTATAGCAAAAACCTCTCAAAAAAAAAAAATCATCTGACCTATTATAGACAGAGACAGAAGAGCAAATGCTGCTTTAAAATGACTGTAATAGTTACATTTTTTTTTTCCATTGTGGCTAGAATGGATCCAAATACAAACACGTAAAAAATGTACTTTAAAAAATCCCGATTGTGTATAGTAGTAAAGTTACAACAAAAATTCATCTAGGAATGAGCTAATGCAAAATGTGTTTCTATCAGTTTAATTCACATAGCAGGCCTTGTGGGATTCAAGGATGCAAAACCAAGCCCCTGTTCTAGAAAAGTGTCCAGAGTTCTTAGAATAGAAAGTGAAACATTAAGTGTATAAAGATGGGAAATGATAATATCCCCAAGCCCTCAAGAAAACTTTTCATTTGTCCTATGGCCCTGTTAAAACATAATTTTTGGTGCAAAAGTTGTATTTTGTGTTCTTAAAGCAAGCTATGAATTTCTATAATGTTAATAATAGGATAAAAAATTTTTAAATAATCTCTTTCAAAACACAAGGATCTGGAAAGAAATCATTTGCTCTAAAGCAGTTAAACAAAATCCCAAAGAGAGGCAACAAAACTGAACTTCACAAGGAAAAAGGTGAGGGCATAATGGCTGTGTGGCTGGACTCCCATGTGGTCAACGGCAGTTTGAGTCCTGGACCCGCTGGCTTAAATTTATGCCAGGCACCTGTGCTTGCGTGCCCAAGATCCCAAGAGGAGAATGGAGGAGAAAGGATTGTGGCATGGCCATCCCCCCTGGGGGGGGGCGGTTGACTTCTCACTTTTTGTCTCTCTCTCTTTCTCTTTCTGGTGAGCATAAGTGCCCTATAGCAAAAACCTCTCAAAAAAAAAAAAAAAGGAAAAAGGTGAATTTCCTGATCAGTTTCATTCTTAACTTTTGCAAAAGATACTGATCTTAAATATCACTTGGATTTAATGAAATATAATCCATTGGCTCTATTTTGTAGATCTTATAAGTAATTTAATGTATCTTCTCTTTCTAAAGTTGACAAAGGCAACAATATTTTTCTCTCCTAAGTTTTTGCCAACAAGGTCAAGAGAGCTATAACTATCCATACTAATGTAATCAATGTTTTTATTAATCAAGTACAATAAAAAAGGTCTGAGAAATTCGAAGTTTCTTTTCTCAACAGAAATCCAAAGTATGACATCTAATACATCTAACAGTTAAAAATAATAATTACAGAAAATTCTGAAGTTGTTAAGTATGCCCCAAGTTTTCAAAATTCTGGCGCACTGACTGGGCCCTCTACTGAGACGTCAAAAGCAAAGTTGTCATAAATGAATTCGGCAAATCCTCTGTGGTGGCCTACTTACATATGTAGTACTGCGCTAGCAGCTGACCAGGATTCCGATAAAACACAAGTAGAAACAGCTTAGAGGAACCATTTCTGCACACTTCTCAGGAAAGTGAAACACTTACCTTCCCTTTCCATTCTATTCCAGAACGTGATACGCAAGGATGCAACAAAGACCAGAGTGTAGCAACAGACAAATCTCAGCAGAGAACAGCGCGGGTCCCCAGACGGTTACGGACAGCACACTGAATAAAGTTTATTGTGATGACAACTATTTCTAAAAAGCCATGTTCCCCCCTTGTCCTCAACTCGCCTTCCTTTCAAAGTGCCTTCCTCTAATCCTCAGGCCGTGCTCCATTCTACGTAGTGTTTTTATTTTTAGGTCCAGGCAGGGGACGGCTATTCTTTAGTTACAGGCAGGCCCCAGAAGTACTGCTGGGCTTCCGATGCGGGCGGCGAGGAGCAAAGCCCACCTCCTAACGGGGCTTACCGAACAGAGAGAGCAGGAGCACCGACGCGCAGCGGCGTGGAGGGAGAAAGCGAACGTACTACGGGACCTCGGCGGGGCTGCGCCTGATGCCACCCGGCTAGCAGCATATGGGAGGGCAGGGACGGCTGTCGCCCCTTGGCAGGCGTGGCGACGCCTTCGCGGGGCCTGGCGACGGAGGCGAAGCCGCCGCTGAGGGGGAGCAGAGGCGGCGGCGGGGGGGGGGGGGGGGAGCCAGCAAGCCTCCCGGCGCCCCGGACACACGTGGGGTTCTAGGCCGCAGGGCCTCCAGACGCGGCCGGGCGGAGGGCAGCAGGTGCGGGAGGAGCGGGCGGCTTCTGCGGAAGCCCAGGGGCGGCAGGCCGGGGCCGGGAGGACAACCCCCCGAGCAGGGGCACGGGGTCCGCGAGCCCGCGATGCCGGCACCGCCAGCCGGGCGGGGCAGGGCGGGGCGCGCCGGGGGCGCCGC